GATGTAGTCTATGGCTGTTTCTGACCAATAGTTCACTCAACTTGTTATTAAAATGGTTGGCTGTCTGTGGAGGGTATCTTCCACTGTCTGTTGGGAAAAAAAAGGTTCAGCCGCAACATAGTATTTAGAGAGGCATGTGTGTATATATGTGTGTATGTGTTTGTTTGTTTTTTTGTATGTTTTACTTTTGCACCTTACATGGAGTTGTTATTGAGGTCTGAGTTGAGCTGGATGTTGGTCGCTTGCGTGTATCCACAAAATCCATCTTGAATATAATGCTTTGGGTGTTTGCTAAGTTAGATCAATTTAATAGGGCCAAGGATGAGGGAGGTTTTGTTTGTCTCCATCTCTCGATACACTCTCACCTGTGTCCGACCTTTCAGACATTTCAACATCTTTTTCTGAATCCCACATTGTAGCATGGCATAGACGATTCACGTTTGCAGTTTGAAGAACACCTGCTTGCTTCTGATGATTTCCCTTAGCTAACCAATGAGTGTTTGCGTTATATGACTCATCCAATTACACTAGTTTTCACTAGACATGGAGGGAGCTAATGATCTGCACTGGATCGCACACATGACGTGAAATAAATATTTATAAACATTAAATCAGGGGTAACCAATTAAAATCAACGGGGTTCAAATAAAGAAAATCATCAACCAGTAAAGGTCTGGAGACATTTTTAATGATCTGTTACTTTAAATAGAATTTAACACTAAAATAAAATTAGGTATTTATGCATTCATTTTATATACTGAATTTTGAAATAAATAGAAAAATAGAACTTGCCAAAAATTTCATCCAGTGCTATCTCAGAGGAGTTGACACTTGTATGACTGTTTTCTTGTATATCCATCTGTAGTTAAAGGACAAGGTTCAGCAAATGCAAATTCTGCCCTGTAAAACAATCACAGCATAATTGTCGCTGTATGATCTGAAGCCTCATTTGAAGCTTTTAAACACACTTTTGAAAAACTTTGATAATTTGCTGCTGTAATATTACAATTTTTTTAGAATAAAAAGCTAGCAGATGTGCATAGTCAAAAAATAACAGAAATAATATTATAGAGCATTCAGTATCGTAAGAAAGCCCACACTGTTTCTTAATAAATACATTATTGTATGAGTTAAGTTCTGTTCCGCTTATGTCTCTTTCTTTGTAAGTGTAAAATGTCCCATGCTCCTGAATGCACCATAGCTATCTGACACTCTAGAATGCATCACACTGCTCTGTGAACGCTGTGCTTTGTAGATGCGCGTTTGATTTTCCGCTTAAGACAGAGCTTTGCAGTTTCCAAACTCACGTCGGCTATCACTGTTTATTGTTGTGTGTGAATAACAAGAGACTACAACAAATAAATCAGCTGTACCTTGGACAAAATCTTTGGATTTAAATTTGTTCATAACACCCATACTGGGGATGCATGTCTCAGCAGGGATGCACTTTTAGGAATAACACCGGACCGTGGTCCGCTAATCCATGACCTCTGCATTAAACTGAAGCCAAGAGTAACGAGTAATGGTTGTTTTAAAAATGTAAGGAATAGAAAGTACAGATACTTGTGTGAAAATGTAATGAGTAAAAGTCAGAAGTAGGATGAAAAATAAGTAATGTAGTAAAGTATAGATACCTAACAAATACAGTAACAAAGTATTTGTACTTTATTACTTGACACCTCTGTGTGTGTATATATATATATAT